TTCCTGTTGTCTGCTGTGGAGGCGAGGAAAAACCATTTTTTGTATTTTTCTTAAGTTTTTTAAGTTGATTAGTAAGAGGAATGGTGTTTCAATAATTCTAAACTTATATATTTTGATTTTTAAATGTATTTATTTACAATAAATGTATTAAATAAAAGGGTTGATAATTAATAGAATAAAAGTAAAAATTAGTGTAATATAAAAACACCATATGGATATGGTGACGCTGACCCCCGGACGTCGAACATACAATATACTTTACACTTTTGTCGATCACAACATATTTAACTTGATACATACAAATTAACTACACGTGGTTAACACAACATATAAATATTAAATAAATTGTTATCCTAACGGCGTTATTGGTTAAGTAGCGCGTTTCAATTATGAGGACGTTATGTGAGGCGGAAGTTTAATTTACGGGAAATGGCCCGGAGTTAAATCCGGACCAAGCTCGGCCGGATATGAAAGACAATTGCACACACGTTGTATACTACAATAAATACCGCTATATCATCAGCGCTTCGACGAGCCCGCGACGACGTTATCACGACTATACTCTAATCTGCGCCGATAACTTGATAGTATTATATAGTATATATTACACAAGACTATCTAAGCTCCCAGCTGCTGTATGTTATTTGTCTCAGTAGATGTTTACGTATTTTCCCTGTTTTTCTTTCGTCGCAGTGATTTTTCACGTAAACATAATAACTTAAAACTAAGACATGCACAAATCGTGTGTATAGTCTATCACAATATCGAGTGTATTTCGTACAAATAAATATTGTAATATTATTTTTTAGAAATTCAGATTAATGCTTCAAATTAGTAAATTACCACGTGCAAATAGTAAAATAAATCATTTATTCAATTGGGTAGTGATTATATTTCTATAGATTAAACCCACGCATTGCAACCAGTTGTTAAAATATGATCACATAAATATATTTTTATATTTTTCTTTTAAGACACTACTAATTGTAGTCTACTCTAGTATATTTTTATACACAATATTTTTAGGTTGTACGATTCGGCTTAGTACGTACACATTTTCTCGTTTATAGTATTTTTAAAATAAAAATAATGTTTTCTTTATGTTTTTGGTATGGACCAGTAGCGGCTGTATTGTACTGCTCGTGAGTTATTACGAAAAACAATAGACCATATTATAGTGTAGTAATAACATTTTATAGCTATAACATTATTATTATTATTTCATACTTTAAAGTACCCGGCGACATTGTTATCGTGGTGTGTTTCAATGTTTGGTTGATGGCTGACAACAAATCGATTCATGTAGTGAAATTGCCTACACGTTGGTTGGAAAACTATAAAAATATTTTATCGTTCGGCGTAAGTATTATGATTCACCAACCAACAACCACAAAGACTTGTTATCTGACGGTCGTACCTGGCGTTAAGTTTATAATAGTAATAATAATACAAAATATTCAAACGAGGAATGTCTATATAAACACATGAATGCGTATCGATTACCATTTTCATATTATTATATTGATTTTTTTTTTTATATATTTCACTATTTCAGAGACAGTGTATTTGTTGTGATTAATTCACTATGCCTTGTGTAACGATATACGGCCATTTATTTTTTATTTTTTTGTAAGTTTTTTTGGAATTCATAAAAAAAAGTCGTTCAACAGCCTAATAATTGGATATACCACGTAAAATATATCAAATGACAAAATGTACAATTTTATTTGAAACATTGCACGTGATACGAATGAAAAATTGCAGGAAAGGTGTCGTCATTAGGTCTCTTGAATTATTTATTGCCAATAATTGACGTTTTTCTAAAATTTTGTTCACCAAACAATTTTAGCTTAGCATAAATATGTTGTTAGAATTTTGAAACTCATATTTGTATTCATTAACGTTAATTTCTTTAATGTTCGTAATACGATAAAATGCATAAACCGAAATTTAGACAACATTAATGATTAATTTTATCAAACTGTAGATGAGATTTCAAATTGTATGGTTGATGTTCTTTGTATTTTACTATACATTTGATGTTTTGATATTAATGGGATTATTGTGAGGGATTTATCTTAAGCTAGTATAAGGATAAGTACTTAGAATTAAAATTATTAAACTGTTAATTATGCCGTAATGAAAATATTGAAAATTAACCAGTATCTTACTGTATTTATAGAGTAGGTACTTATCATTATGTTAAAAATATTGAAAAACAAAAATTAAACTAAATTACGTTTCTAGGTATATAATGAAATAAAACGTTGTAAAATATTTTAATTTTGAATGATTCATTTGTGAATACGATATTAAAAATATGTAGAATATGTTTAATACCAATTTAAAATAATTGTAACTGAAAGCATTTCTATTTTTATTTTAAGCTATCTATGTTTGTATTATGAGGGTGTTCATTTATCACAAAACCTTTATTTTTAGTATAGTTTTAAATTTTAACTATAAAAATATTGAATAAAATTGCAAGCTCATCAATGACATTATTGAATTATATATCAACTAACAATTATTATAAGCATATAAGTTTATTAAATCAATTAAAATATTTGGTGACGTTAGCTTATATTAAGACTTTTTTGCATGTTTTCTATAATATACACTTTCCTTATCTGACAATAACTCGCTTATCTTTATTCTTATTTTATTATTGTTATACTTCCTGTTCAAAAAGGTTTTTTTTCATTTTCTTCTCTCAGGTCCCACACCGCACATAAATTTTGGTGGCAAAGTTGGTCTCTCGCTCGTTCGACTATATGCAGACCAGATAAGTTTTATATTTAAAAGCGTATCCGCTGGTGGAATATAGAAGGGCGCACATTTTTTTTTTACCACCACTCTTTTTTCCGAATTTTCCTTATAACATTTGGCTATGATCCCAAAAATAAAATATATCACTTTACGTTGTATTTTTCATCTACACACTCTTTAATACATACAACCGTTACCAATCTCTCACGACATGTCATGTTTTGCACGGTGTTATCATTATAATGTGTATTATTATTACTAAATCGTCGTAGTTATTGTTATTATTATGGTATTTTTAGATAAGATATTACGCTTTTTGAGTTATGATGTATATGGGTATATAGATGCAGGACAAAAATATAGATAGAAAATTACAATAATTAATATTTCATTAAGTTGACGATACAGAATATTTTTGGAATTAGTTTAAAATTTTTGGTAAGCAAACATGATTCATCAAAGGTATTTTTAAAATTTTATTTCCTAATTCTATATATTGACACTGTGTTGATGAAAAATAATTATTTTTAAAGTTATTTAATAGTGAAATGTATCATTAATAATCTGTAAATAAGTGGGATCCGATTTTTAAGTATGTATATAAAATTGTTATAATTCGTGAAAATTTTTATTAAAATTTTTGTTCCATTATAAATAGCATTTATTCATTTTAAATTCAAAGTTTTAAGTTTTAAATTTTAATTGGTACTTTCTTAATAATTGTCATTTTATTATACCAATTGATAAGTCAATAAATTCTATTTACAATACATTATAAAGTTATTTATAATTATAATTAGTATCGTTAAAATTAATACGAAATACACCAAATTGTGGTTGAGTTTAAAAATGTTTGTATATAAAATAATATATTTCTGTGTGTTAACATCAGTATATCATGTATTGCATAAACATTAAATGAGTATAAGAAAATGCAAAAATGTTCTTAAGTTAAAATAACATAGGTATTTAAGTTAAATAATTATACATATATTAATGAAATAATTCTGAGCTATTTTATTAAAAATTAATATAATTTTAAGGTGATGATTAAAAAATACTAATTTAAAAAAATAATGAAAATACATATTTTAAAATTCAATAACATTTTTAATTTATCATTTTCCGTTAAATGTTTAAAATGTTTATTTATTTACGTTGTCTTTTACTTTGTAAAAAAATAAAAGATAAAATATGACCCTATAACTTTTGAAATACCTATTCGAATTTTTTAATTATCATTTAAGGATTCAATTATAAAACATATAAATATTTTATAAAAATAAAATAAAAATAATAAACTTCTAAAAACTGGAAATTAGTTTTAATTTAATTTTTAAGTAATATCATGTTTGGAATCATTGTAAACAACATTTTGCTTTATTTGAGCTATTAAGTACAGATAGAATTTCCTTTGTGATCTAAACTTGATATACATTATATATCAAAAATATTAAATTTGAATACCATTTTACATTATAGATATATTGTAGAGAATTTAATTTAGTGTTGCACAATGGTATAGTTTATAGAAGTATAGTATTCACCTTTCTAATTATTAATGTATGCACATTTTTTCGAACTAAATATGTGGAATACAACTTTTTTTCTTATTTTGTTTTAGTATTACACATATTAAAGATAGATTATTAAATGTATTAACATTTGTAATCCACCAATATATACCAATATTTAATTTAAATATATTAATATTTCTTTCAAATAATTGAAATTATTTTTACTTGTGGATTACACAATATAGAGAATTATATAATAAAACATGTTTAATTTAAAATCTGATATGCCTATGCCTAATTTTCCTAATTTATTAATATTTTGTAATTAGTGCCTAAAAAAAAAAAAATAATAGTTAAAATTTGTATTATAAATTTTTTATTTTCATAATTTATGTTTAATCTGTATTTATTATATTAAAAACAGAGTTACATAATATATAATATAATCTAATTGGTTTGAACTTTATAAGGTGTATCAAAATACTCCAATATACATTACAAATATAATCAAATTGTCATATCTTTCTGGCAAACAGTGAAACTTTGTTCGATTATATTATAATATATGTATAATAATATTTAGTTAAATATTAGTTTATACTTTATATTAATAAAGACCGAACTTTTAACATAATTTTATATAGTGCATAATAAGATATGACTTATGAACGGTCGACGATAGAAAACATTATTTTAACACATAAAGTTGCTTACCATTAAGTATATGAATAGTCACAGCCGCTGATGCAGACGGTGATCCAACCAAGCACGTATAGTTGCCCGAATGTGTTTTCTGTACATGTTTGATTTTCAGAATGGACACGATTGTCGTATAACTAGAATCATTGCTGGTTCTACGTGGTACATAAAACAAACACAACATTATACAGGCGAACAGTGAAAAGACAATAAGAAAAAAATACGCAAAACACTTCTGTGCGTAAAAGATTATTGCAAACTGTTCAATACGTGAGCATAATATTACAATCGTGATCGAATGATTAAATTGACATATATAGGCATGTATTTTAATATAAGTATGAGGTTTTTATAATTTAAATTTTTATTCTGAGTGATAGTGGTTTCTGTGTATTATTTAAATTACGAATAATAAATAGAACAGTATTTTATATTTTATTTTTTAAGTTATCGGCATGGTTTTTATTATCTACAACTGTTATTTAAAAGTAAGATTTTCTTAAATCGGACTATACTTTTTAATTATTTTACCTAAAAATAACAATTATTTTTTTAAATAAAACTGATTATTCTTTCAGGTGTTTTTGGTGTTGTTATACAACAATTTTCAATTTTTAACGTAGTATTAATTTATTATGCAAGTAACGTTAAAAACTACACATACTAGTATAGTAATACATATGTGAATTATAATAAATTTGTTAATAATGTATTATATATTCAGATATATTAAAGGTTAAAACAAAAGTCAACAGCTTCGGTATAGAACATAAGAATATAAAGAGGTGGTACCAAGGAAGAAATAGTCCATTTAGAAAATTGGATTTGCCGGAAGTGGATGGTTTTCTTGTATTATCTTAGTCGTATTATTTTTTTTTCATTTATAATACACACAAAGAGAGAAATAAAGTGTATGTATGTATTAAAGAAAAAACGGAAATAACCGTGAGATCTCACACGGGCGTTTTACCGGAAGACAGCCGTTTGCACAGACTCTTGTCATCCGTAGTAAGCGTTCTTAAAGTATTTGATTAACGCTGTTCCGGCAGTCAACGAGTTTGAGCTTTGTTTTTACGACCACCAAGAACGTCAATTTAAATTCAATAGTTTAGAACTACCGCTTAAATAAAGGAATCTACTTCTAAACAAATAAGACGGGTAATTATTTATAACTATAAACAATAGTTTTAAAGGAATTATATAATATAACGATATATTATTAAAATTTTATTTTGAATCATTTGTATGTATTTCCAAAACCTGTCACAAAAAATACATTTGAGAATCGAGTATAATATAAAATTCATAACCTTTGCTTTGTATAACAGTTTATTAATTTATGTAAATCGTTTACATATTTTTTACCACGAAATAATTATTTGTTTTTAATAAACAAATTTTTATTTTATTTATGTTAATTTTATTCTCGCTTCACATAAACAAACAATTTTATTCGATATAATTAACTGATTTAAAGGCTTTTTAAATTATAGTTGTCACGTAAATTATTAAAATATGTAGAAAGTGAGTTTAATATTGTATTATAGTATGACTAGTGTGTTTGTTAAAGTTCTATAATGTGCGTTTAACCTTATAAATAACTTTGATCACAATTTAAATGAATCATTGAAAGTGCTATTTATTATGTGAAAACTTCGTAGCTCGGATAAATGTCTACGTTTATTATGATTAAATATATTTGATGTCGCAATAGCTAAGAAAATACAAGAAACGAATTCAAATTAAATTTTATAAAGATTAATGCTGACTGCTTTTTAATGTTTCAATTTTTTTTTTTTTTATTTAGATATACACTTTACAGTTATAATTTAAATATAAAAATTAATTTTTATAAATTTACAATACTTAAAAGTTTAAAATATTTGCATATTTTATGTAAATAACAAAAAAAATTAATTTAAAAATAAAATAAATATATTCCTATAAATATCATAAAACGGTTATATAATAAATGTAATTACGCATAAAAATATGAAAAATATAAAATAATAAATTGTATAACATTGATTATGCCAAGTAGTGTTTTCAAAATATATATTTTAATTAGGTGTTACTTAAAGTTCTAACGAGTAAACTCCTATCACATACTGATGTTCTAATCACTAAACTATCAACGAATCCATCACGATGAAAACTAATAAGGAAATTATGTTAAAACTTTTGGTTTTAGCATCTCTCAATAATTAATATACATGCTCGATGTTATCACTGGATAATTTACCAATTTATATTATTCACCGCTTATCAAATCTGATTGTTATACAAAAATATTGTATAGATTGTAGATTTTTTATTTAGTAATTAAAAAAAAAGTTCTAATGGAAATTAAGAATACTATATTTAATTTCAATTATCAACATGTATACAACCATTGTAAGCAAAAACGCTGTAAGTTTCTCCCCCCCCCCCAAAAAAAAAAAAAAAAAATGAGGTGATTATAAATAAATAATTGTGTAGATAAATATTCCGTATATTTGAAATACTTATTACTCCAAAAATATAATACAAGAAATAATCAAATAACTAAAACGCCGTAAATCATAGAAAAATTAGTGGGTACTGGGTACTAACACCGTAAGTGTATTGTTGAGGATACGGCATTTTATTTTAATCCATAGTAAAAATTATAATTATAAAAATGTTTTGGGAAAGTATTCCAACATTGACTTTCAAAGTTTTACTTTATGAATTCTTTAAAAATAATTATGTATCTATAAATTTAATAATTAAAATGTATAAATAATTTTATAATATTAGAAATTGTAACTTACTGCGTTATTGCTTAGGAACAAAGTATCAGAAATTTTTACTAATACTAAAGTGCAACGTGAAAAGTAAAATATCTTGTTGAAAATTCATTTAATCATGTATTTTATTATTATTTCATGGTATTTGTCTGGTAAAATTATATAGGAACACATACACCATATTTAAATAATTACAACATACAAGATGTTATGTGTTTAAGGAAATGCAAAATACAAAAACATGTTTTTTTCAAAGTCGTTCTACGGTGACTTACAGCGTTTTTGCTTAGGTTAGCAGTGTATGTAATAAGTATGATACAACGTATTATATATTAATAAAAATGTTTTCATTATATACTTAACTAGATAATCTAAAATAAATAGTAAGTAGAATACTTATTACTGTATTCACTTCTAATTCGAATAGTTAATTTGACGTTCTACTGATCTTTTAATTTTTATTTATTTTATCTTTTTTCTTTTTTTTTCAGAATCAATAAAATATATTTATTTATATAAAACACTTATGGCTTAGTAATTCAAATTTTGTTTGGCTCGTAAATTAAAAATGTATAATATTGAAGATTCCCGTAAGCAAATAAAAAGTATTTAATAACGAATATGAAATGGATTTACCTTTCGGTGATTCCGGTCGAAATCGTTTGAGGTCCCTTGTACCACGATACTTTAGACCCGTTGTTGCTACCAGCGTGGACGACTTTGCACACGATCTCTAGAGTGCTACCAGTCTTGTAGAAAACGTCACTACCGCCTCTTGTCACATCACCGGTACCGGTTACTGACATGCGTACCGTAGGCACTGTGGACAAACATAATTCTATAAATTAAACAGCTAGATAAAGTCGGTAAGGAATGTTGTAATGTTTTTATTAGTGGAGCTTTTAAGATGGAACAGGGCGGAAGAGAGACACAGAAGTTAGTTGAGGGACGAAAGATACGATACGATTCATTAAAGAATTATTTGTATAAAACCCCTGGAAATCAATTTTTTTTTTTATACTATTAATGTAACCTTTGAAAAGACTCAATAGAGGCGTCAAGCCACTGCAAGTAATCGGGGTAAACTTTATAGTATTATGTACTCTGGTAACTGGAAAACCGCGTTTGCCTAAATGATATAAGCGCGTACAGCATATGTTAACGAAAAAGGGTACATACCGGTCGGATAGTACGACAGTATATGTATATACGTGTATGTGTAGAGAATAAGCCTTTATTGGATCTCAGTGGAGGCGGCGGCTGACGCCGTTTCCAAACGACTGGTTTGGGAATATTCTAGGAGGTCACTCGTTTCCCGCATAAACGAGACCCAGGGGAAAATGAAAGGACCGAATTTAATATGCGCCTCTGGAATTATGTGTATACATATTATGTACATACATGCGTATATATATATATATATATATATGTATTTTGTTTCAATTGGCGACACCATAACCTTTTGTCATAACCTTGAAATATGCAACCAACGTTGTAACCATTTCAAATATAAAGAAATACGTTTTAATTAAAAAAAAAGACAAAACAAATCATACATCTTAATGTGGTTATGAGCTGGTAAACAAAGTACAGTACACCTGTTTATTATAATATTTTATGAAATATAGCTATAGCGTTACTGTTAGTTTTTATGAACAGAGTAAATATTTATAACCCAAACGCATTATTATGTTTAAGCAATTTTTTTCTTCCAGTTTTAGAAACTTTTTTTCTTATAACTGAAAATATGAAATACATTTTTAAAATTATATTTATTTTTAAATTATTTTAAACTTTTGAATAAAAATATAAATTATCAATTAAATTTTGTTTAATAGTTTTATGATTTTTCTTTAGACAGTTACAGTTTAGACCTGTAGAATATTTAAAAAACTATATTTGATATACCGTAACAAATATCGTTGAATTGAATGTTCTTATTATCCTTAAAGATTATTTTGAAGTGAATTCTTTATGTTATTTATAAATCAAAGAATCTTAATTACTATAAGTATTTTATATATAAATAATTGTTGATAATTAAAAGTTAGCATAGCAGGAAAAAATGTTTAAATTCAAAAATTCTATTTGTATGGCATGAAATAAGAAGTATAAAACTATTTAGGAAAATTAAAAAATTGTATTGACTTATAAAAATTTAAAATAGTTTAGTCCATTATTCCTTAAAAAAAAAAAAAAATTAAATATTAATTTTATAATATTTACGAGTAAAGAGTAATAAAGGATCAAATATTTTCTCAGACTATTTGATGACGTACAAGATTTTAATTTTTAAAAAGACAATTTTGTTTTTGATCGTAAATTATATTTAGTTTTATGAATAATTCGTATTACATTAAGTAATCAAAAATATATTGTATATCTATATCTGAAGTTTTCAAGGTTTAGCAACCGGTAAAAATAATAATAGTTTTCTTCATCAGTTAAACTCAGCATCTAGGTACACCTTTTGTATTAAAATTTAAATGGTAACAGCTCGTGAACCACTGATTAAACAATAAAACTTTACAATCAAAAAGTTTTATTTAAAAATATATAATGGTTATATTTTATCAATAAATAAAATAATTAATAAAAAAAAGAATCTTTTTCGTAACAATATTTTCTTTTTTCTTATCATAACTTTAAAAGAAAATCAAATATGTTAATATCATTTATAAATAATTTTGTGTTATATTATACATTGCATTTGATAAAAAGTGCTTGATTTCTATTATTGCATAATTTTATCATATTAATGCAAACAGTGAATTAAATATGGTTAAAATACTAACCACGTTGTCGTTTTTAATAATGAAAACCTTAGACATACGAGTACTATCTTATAACGTTTTTAATTGGTTTTACTTTAATGTGTGGAAAATGGTTTTAATTTTTTTTTCACATTGTTTATTATTAAGTTTATAAAGTTTTTATTCGTTTTATAAACGACACTAAAACACAGTACCATATTTGATAGACTTAAGGGAGAACGAAATCATGAAGTTCGGTATAATAATGCAATTTAGTCAATCAGAGAGTAAAGGCTAAAGTATATATAAGGAGCGGTGCAATATGAATAATTCATCATTGAACATTTTGAACAAAATTATAGAAGTTAAATAATACTTGATAAGAAACATTCTATGCAATTTATTTACAGTAAGTTGATTTCTTTCTTTTATCAAGGAAATATATTATTGTAGAAGAATTTATGAGCTTAAATAGACCAATCTAAATTTTTGATTTTCTCGGATTTAGAGATTATTAATTCCATATTTTTAATGACATACTAGTATTTAACGTTGACAAAACTAACATTAAACTATTAAAATTATTAAAAGATTTACATCAAATCATGTATACCAAAAACATTATTAAATGTGAATATTCAAATTTTTTTAAGAAGTGTGAAAAATATACCTATCTCATATTATATAATTAAATGAATTAAAATTAATAATATGATGTTAACATTATCTATAAGAATAAAATTAGCGTATAAAGAATAGGTCACAGATATATTGTGGGCTAGTTCAAATAAATATTAAATGTTTAAAATTATGTTTAAAGAGCCTATCAGCTATATTGTTGAAACCCTTACAAGTATCTAACAAAAATGGTACAAAAACAAATGGACCACTGTAGGGGATAATATAAAAATAAAATTTTATGAGAATGAATTAAATCTTAACACAAAATATATAAACGTAACCTTTTATTAAAATATTATTTCTATATTTAAATCTGACTTAATATATATCAAAATTTATTAGTACTGTTTTTAATGACCAGCGATACTGAACTTTTGTTAAGTGATGACTTCTAAATTAGGTATTTACTCAGTTTTTTATGACATTTATAAGTATTTTTCACGTTTACACGTAAAAATAATATTATGTGTTAGCGACCTTAAACAATTACTAATTAGTTGTCAACTCTCTAGATTGAGAATTACTGATATAGATGGAAAAGATTGGATTTATATTAAACAGCTTAACTTCTAAATTTATTAACAATAATATTATAGATCACAATATAAACAAAAAACTAAATTTATAAAATAATTGATTTAAATACTAATTTGTATTTGCAGATACAACATGATATTTGTATAAAAATATAGCACAGGGTTTTCATATACAAAATATTATTGTGAACCACCCACTGTCACTGCATATTGACGAAACGAGTAAAAACAGAGTTAAATCGATGGGATAAAACAATACGTCGGCATGACAATAGTAGGTAATACTTAAAGTTATAACAATAATAAATGCACAATTGGTGATGTTAAAGAAACAATGGTTATATGATGGGTCTCGTGTTCCCCTGTACGCTGCCTCACCTTCGCGTACATTAGCTTTGTAAATAAACGTCTTGTGAAGAAGAGTGCTCACAGTGACAGTGATCGGTAAAGCTGGGTACTGGACACCCTACAATATAATTTAGAGTCTAGACTACTTTTGTGCGCAAACTGAAACAGTTATATAATACAGCTAAATCAATTTTTTCTTGAGAGACAGATTCATGGAAATATAATATAGAGTATTATAATAATAATTATATCTATATAATATTTACATATTATGTAGATTCAGTTAATTTTAAAACTACAAAATATTTATTATAATGTTCAGGAATTTGTCAATGTATAAATACAAATAATTAATGCCACAAACGATAAATCATACAGTGACGACAACATATTTTTCGTTCAATTATTTTTGTCTTTTAGTATTTTTAAGATTTAAATTCTCTGTGAATAAGATAAAAAGTCTATGCAAACATATTTTAAACATTATATAAAAAAAAATTTAAAAATCACATTTTTTTAAAAAAACTTTTGCAAACATTTTTATATTCAATCGTCATTATTTTAATGGTCTTATAAAGTCATTATAAAGGCATTCTGGGATAGTGTTTGGTCATAAGTCGTGCACTAGTATAAATAGAGGTATAGGGTGAGACAGAGATGGGAAGAATTGCTTAACTCATAGTGAATTTTATATGATTTTACCGGTATAAAAAATATCCATATTTACAAATTATTGTGTTTGTTTAGGTACATACGTTATGATAAAGCCCTTGTATGTGAAAACATTGAAAAAGTAATGGTCTTAACCGACTTAACCACTACGTTAATTATTTTTAACGCATATCTAACGCATCGTGCTTTTAAAGATGTCATTTAATATGTATCTTATGAAGACAACGACAGCGTTACTAAGATTAAAAGCCGATTTTCCGATGGAGTGAGAGGCGTTTTTTTATGATGGTCGCTAGTAGAGGTTTTGTACGGCCGAGAGTAAACAATAATTGTTTTATTGAGGTTTTCGGTCTCCTCGTTTTCCCCAGTATGTATATTATACCAGCTATTACGCCATCACCGATACAATATTGATAAACACGACATTATACGCTTTCGAGTTGACCGAACATATATTTTATATTTAAAACGTGATCGACCGACGGTTGGTTTTATATCATAGTATTTAATCACATAAAATGAATTCGGAAACAGATGGCATGACCGCTAATAATATTAACACGTACGTACTTATCATATTATTTAATATGATATTATAATGAAATCATAGTATTATCGACGAGACGGGTTGGACTCAAATCACAACTACATCGAATTCTATACAAACGATCTCGAAACGCTATAAATATAAATATTTTATAGCTGATAACTGCATGGCTTTATAATAAATTGTATTATGTTTTTATAGTTTATTGTTCTCGTTTTTAGATATATTTAATAACGGCCTGATAATAAAATACGTTTAAACGTTTTGATTTGCAACTATTGGTATTTTAAATATTAATGACCAGATCGAGTATTAGTTTACAAATTTACTATCTATTTTGCTTCCTACTCTTGTATATTATATTTATGTATACGGGCGAAACGAGAAAAGTTATACAATTTTAAGAACTATTTTCAAATACAAATTATAACTCAATATAATAAAAATATATTGATAAATTATAACAAATTATAATTATGAATAACAACTAAGAATCATATTATTTAATATATCGTTATAGTTAAAAAAAACATTACTATACTTTGCAACATGAAATAAATAGATTTCTGAGAATATTCGTTTTTTAGACATGGTCATAGATAATAAGCTTTCATAAATTCTACATGTCAGTCTGCATCTTGGCACTAAGATAAATAAAATTATGTATTAATTATTAATTATAATATTAATTAAAATATTAATTTATTTATTTAATTAAATATTAATTATATTATTTATTAATTTGTATTTTACTTACTAATAAGTAAAATACAATATATTTTACCGAAAATTTTCATCGGTATTTAATTATTGCTCTATCATTACATTTTTATCTACAATTTTTTTTTAAGATTTTTGTACAAACGATAATCTTAGAAAGTAAGTGTTAAGAACAAACATTACACTACCTACTCAAACAAATAGCAATTTTTAGTGTAAAAAAAAGAAAAAGAAAAAAAGCTTTGTTTTCCGATTAACTTCATAATAATGTTGTACTACTTGTATTGACACATAAAACACAGAAAAATAATTTACTATAAATATATATATATATATTTATGGGATTTTATTGAGTTATTATTGTTATCATCATATAGGTGTCGTAGTTTTTGTAATTGAAATTGATACTATATATTAGCCGAGACTTACGGTAGATGATGATAGTAATGATTGCGAACTTGGTGAAATAAAGTTTGTTGTTCATTAACTACAGAAAATTTAAAGTTATCTTTAAGTATTAAATCTAAAGTTTTAAAATTTGAAATTGAAGTATATAAATTCTAAGACACTAAACTCTAATTCACAATATAACTTTCTGTTAAAAAAATATTTATGGAAAATAAATTTTTTATTTATTTTTTTAATGCAAGAATGTAAGTGACAAAGAAATGTTATTTAAACAAAAGAACAGTACCTTCAGCATAATTTAATTTCAAGTAAAAAAAATATAATATATATATATATATATATAAATATATTAAATATAAAAACAAATGTCTCTATAATTTCCTATTGTAACATTTGAAAGTTATTTTTTTTGTGAAATGTGAATTATGTTTGACATAATAATAACTGTCGATATAATGTTTCATACTCATCGATATGGATTTGTTATATTTCACTTTCAATAATATACTTTATTTAGGTACTTGCATATTATGCAATTTATTTATTTATTTTTGATTATATTTTCCAATTGCCTGTTTTCGGGTAATTTAATAAGATATATATTTTATAAGAAATCACTTATTTATTACCTGTATATTAAAATCATTATACCAACATTTTCTATTGTGAAATAGCTCGGATATATTATAACTTATTGTCATAATATTTTTATTGATGTTCATTTAATGGTGTATTATATATTTATCTAAATCAGTAGGGTATTTATATTTAAGGATTATTTAAATTTTAACTATTTATATTATAGAATATATTTTAATTTATTTTGTTTTTAATATAATGGATTATAACATGAATATAGTTTTTGACATATTAAACTTTATATTTTATATTTTACCTAAAAATAAAAAAATAATATGTTTAAAAAAGGACTTGATTTGGATTTTTAAGACATAATTAAGCGCATTTAATAAATATTTTTTTTAAGTTAATAAAATATTTTAATAATTCAATAAATTAATTTAAAAATTGTATTAGTGGTTTTTATTTTACTATTTAAATAATAATATTACATGCAAAAGAATTAAATTTAAAATATTTTTAAGGTCAATAAAGATTTAGTTTTAGTTTTTAGAATAAATTGTACCTGAATCATTATTTAAAAATGTTTATACTTTTAACTATGTTTATTATATACAATTAATGTTTATAATATATAAAAAAACATAAATAAAATGGTTAGATCAGCGTACAAGCCTTATTATAACTAACTTAACACCTTGCTTACTTAACTGAAGAGTTGCATAGTGTATCAGGTGTAGTGTAATATTAAATAAAAATATGCTGGTAAAAATTGTATGTGTATTATTTATAAAATATTTTAAAAAGAACTTACATTTATAAATTTAAATTTAAAAATGAAATAAATGCTCTAATAGTAGCTATATTGATAACTTTTTTCTATTCTTATGAAACGATAATACTACCAATGGTATTTAATAACGTTTATAAGACATACGTTGAATAAAAGAGTAGATTGTTTAGAGGAAATAATGTGCTGAACAATTTGGAAAGATATTGATATTAAATGATAATGCAATGTCTAAGAGCTCTTGATTTTTTTTCCATTTAATCGTTGCATATTCCTTAAATTGTTTTAATTGTGTGGTTTTGTATGACTTAAAAAATTATCTAATACGAGTAATTTATATATTTTGTTTTATTATAATATACATACCATCGACCCTAAGGTATGTTTTCTTGGTGGTTGGTGGGTGTGTTGCTACTTGACACTCGTACACCCCATCGTCTCTATCAGTTATATAGACGATTTGAAGTCTCCAGTTATTAGGATATCTGAAGCTCAATGATATCCTCTGGTCTGAGCTATGCACTTGACGGCCCACAGTAAGTAGCTGTATATCGTCTGATTTTCGATGAACCCATGTAACCTGTATAAAATATATGAAAAAATACATACTATTGTAAAAACTAAATAGGTACATATTTCGGCAACTTTTAAAGTTTTACTTTATTTACACTTATACAATAAAATTGCCAATTTTAGTTTTTTCCTTAATCTTTGCTAAGAAACATATTATAATTTATTATTAATAATATAAATGATTTATTTAAATAATAAAAAAAATGGTATTTTAAGTAAATTCTCGTTATTTAAATGGTTAAATAGAAAGTAACCTACTTGAAATAATAAGATAAAAATAAAAAAATATGGAAAGTAGGTAACCGTACTGTGCTGTTTAGTAGTGGTCAAGTATATCTCGTAATTAAGCAAATTGCTGTAAGGTATGCGTTGAATATGAAAACAATGATAATTAATTGCATACTAAAAATAATTCTAAGTGCAGAAGTGGTTTGTCGGTTAATATTATATTTTATCAAAACTATATACTGTGATAAATTATTATAATTTATTTTACTATAAGATATAAGTACCATTAATTAATTATAATTGTTTATTTTTTTTTCCTAAGATGATATGATATAAATTATAAATTGGCAAAAGCTTAAAAGTAATCTAATGTTTTATAGAAAATGTTAATATTTAAGAAGAATAAAAAATTCACACAATCTATAATCCCAAAATCATAATTTATCTATAAGTTCAGTCGTGTTTATACTTAAATAATTATCATAATTGGAAAATTTGTATAGTAATAAAAATATAAAATACACTAATACTGATATTCAGTTATCATATTACTAATGATAAATAAAATTATTTTCCAATTAAATTTAATAAATATAAAAAGTTAAATAAATCGTTTTTCTTATGTAAAAATTAACTTGAAAATAAATAGGTACTAAAAATATGTCATAATAGATTCAGATAGGTACATGAATAATTTTCTTCTTAAGTTCTTATTATGTTCTATACGTATTCGGTATAATTATTAGTGATGGTCATTATTTTTTTTTTTTTTTAAAAAGAGATATATTTTTTATCTAATATCTTATATATACGAATAATTTTTAAAATATTGAATAACCCATTGTTTTAATTATTTTATTTTTTATATTTTATTCATTATATCAAATTACTAAATAACGCAGTATACTATCCAATAGCCACCTACTCGTCAATGTACTGAAATTGCCTACACATTGCGCCGACCAGTTAATATAAATATTAAATAAGACTATTAGGTAAATTTAAAAGTATAATTATATTTTACGAAAATTATTTATTTTTTTCTAAAATAAATTAATTATTTGAACTAGTTTATTATTGATATACTTACTATTATTTTTTTCACAGTGAACTTTGAAGGTTTCTTACTATTAATAAAGTAACCAATAGTATAAAAAGATTCACTTAGTTTATACATTTTGCTTATCTTACATACTCAATTATTGTTTGTATTGTTAATAATAACTTTGATTTAATTTTTATGAATATCGTTTGAATATCTGATAAATATAAATACAAAGAAAGTTTGTTACCACTGGTCATTTTAAAGTTTGTAATATTTTTTTATTGACTTGATTTATTACTATTTTATATTTACTATTTTTTAGTATCCAGGTTAAATCTGACTAAGCCAAAATATAAGAAAATTTATTATGATACATTTTTTCTTTTTGGTTAATCCACAGCTATTCTTTTTTTTTTTTTTTTTTTTTTAAGCGTGGCATAAAAGTTTTAATACTTTGTAATAGTATTTGCGAAATAGTTAATTATTAAAAAAAACTCTATTCAGAATACAGAAAAAACTTTCGCTGAAGCAGTTTAATGTGTAGAGGTGTATAGTTAGTTGTACATTTAATAGCAATAATACATTTTCGCACTAGAAAAATGGTCTTACATGAAGCTAAAGCTATTAGTTATAATATTTTTTGTATTTCAATATGTTTATAAAATTAATTAATGGATGAGGATTTTCAAAATTAATAAATTATGATGAAAAGGTATATGTTTAAATGATTTAGAAGTCTCTACACTTTTAATGATATATTTTATTGAAAATCATATATGATCATATCGCTGTAAAAACAAATTCATAGTAATAATAAGTCATTGATTATAATAAGACCAATTTATTATACTTCAATAATAATTTGTTAATACATATATTGATCATAAATGGTTATGTTATGGTCTTTATTATATTTCAACAGTATTGAGTAATTTTGAGATAATATAAATTTACTGTTAGACTTCGGATATAGTATCGCTTGCAATATATATAATTTTAGGCTTTACATAGTGTGTAATCAATAACCTTTAATAACGTAGAAGAACATAATTACAATGGTTGTAAATAAAAAGCTTCTTGTCTGTAAGGTCGGTCTGTATTTTTGTAACGCCAAAATCTATGTATTACTGTTGACGTTTTAAATATGGGATGATATAAATTACACAGCAAACAGATGTCGAAATAGTTTTGAACATATTTTAGCAAAAATGTTCACCAGATGATACTATTTATGAGAATAATGATATACTTCTGTAATAGTAATATTTATAGTTTTCGAATTTGTGGGTCATTTGACGTCAAACAAAAATTTTTAATATGTGAGTAGTAATTAAATTTCGTTTTTGGTATATGTTTGAATACACTGTTATATATCAGCTTTAAAGTAATAGAATGATAAAAATAAAATAAACTACAGTAAATTTTGAAGTGATAAATACATAATACATATTTTGGAAACTATATAACCGTGTCTGTATAAAATATTGTATTATTTACAAGTGAAGTATTCTATGCACATTTGATTAACTCTTTTCGTAAAAATTGTCGATATATTTTGTGACATTTGATTGAAACAGTGTTAGACATATTTGTAATGAACTTGTCCAGGTATGCGGTCAGAAGGAATCTATTTACGGATGGTAAGTCAATGAGTTTTTGGACGTGATAAAGTTAAATTTTATTACAGTATGACGTTAGATTGAGTGATAATTGTCAATAGTTCATACTGTTCATAGGATAAACTTACTGCAGTGGACAACAAAATAAGCATGTGACAGATTTGACAAAACTTTTGTGGGATTTTTATGACTATAGGTGGAAGGAGAGCGTGGTGAAAGTTGACTAAGGCGTGACTCTACGTTTATCCATTAATTTCTTAAATCTATCCCGTTAAGGTAGTTGCAATGTTAATAGTTTTAGTATAAGAGCTTAAAACAATACTAAAATAACCCAACAAAGGTAGGATGCGTTATTGGCGGTGGTTGGAGTTCAAGGCGGCAAGTCACCTTGTCGACCATGGTCGGTGGTAGCATGCCAGAATCAGTGACTAGCGGAGACTGCGGGAAAAGATTAATAATTTTGGCGTCAACGTGATAGTTCTCGACAACCCCCCTCTCCTTCATCGATGACCCTCGCACACACACACGCACACAGAGCCACCATCCACAAATACAACAATGATTTTTGTGTAGCATGTGTACGCGCAGTTTGTGTGATTACGGTATAACTGATAACAACAAATGCACGTCAATTTAATAACAATAATATCGTATGTACCTACAGAGGGATTTCTATACTGGCGCGCAACACATTAGGTCATCGATTCTTGATATTTATGAAAAGTCAGTTAAAAAAATGTTTTACTCATGTGAGTACTCCAGTACATAACTAATAACATAATATATATTTGTTTTTGAAACCACAAAATTTGACTCTGGAAACGAGTGTCATCCTTACTATATATTATAATAACATATTATGATATACTCAAATAAAATACAACGCTGTTGCAGAGGTGGCGCACGCTGAGCTGTCGGATTGATGAATTGCACTGCCTTGTCAAAACGCCGCCGGAGGGGTGGAACACGCATACTGTCTTTATATGTGGGCGGATGGGGGGGGGGGTGGCACCGTTCGCCAATGAATTGATGGCGTTTTTGAAAATAATCCACGTGACGCACACACATATTATATACATAATACATATATACACATCTGCACGCCCCGTGGCCATGCAGTGAGCGAATGATGTATGCGCGAATTGGCCATAAATTGCGACGGCCGACCGACCGACCGACCCGGCTCACTAATTTTCCAGATTTCGGCCGTTTTTACGAGTAACGCCTCCCTACAACGTCCCGTCACGTTGCCGCACGTCGACTGTGAGTGCATGGGCGAGGGCGCTTTTCGGACAGCAATAGAAAAAAAATCCTGTGCTACAAATAATGTGGCAAGCACATGTATCGCGTAAAAGAGAAAAGGACAACTCGTATAATTAAAATAGTAAAAAAATAAATAATAACATTAAAAAAAAAAAAAAAAAGCCACTATACGTTGAACACAAAACAGGCGGATGAGACTGTTTAGAGATTTTTAATAGCGTTTTTTTCTGTATAATACTCGTTTATGTATTAATATTGCATGTCATTGTTTCATTTATTATGTACAAAATACGTGTGTTAAACGAGCAAATATCGCGGTGGTTATAATATAATATTATATAATTTATTACATTATAATAAGACCACTGACGTTGAGTGTCGGACTGTTTTATGAAACCAAATCAAAACGTCTCGGATTGTATAGATTTAATAACACATGCAGACATAGTTCGAGAACTGAGTATATTATTTTAACTTCAATATTATAGTTATTACACAAAAAGTAATTCAGCTCACGTGTTGGGAGCTTCGCTGTTTTATTGTAAATTACCTTAAACAATATTATGGTTCTTTTTTTTTTTTTTTAACTCCCTTTGTTTACGTTTTACAAACGTAAACAAACATTTTTAAATAATTTAAATATAATTTCGTATCATTTAATAAACTTGTTAACAATTATTAGAAATCAAGGTGTTAACCATAAGTTCATGGTAAATTACAGATTAATATTACAGCTATACTCGTAGAAAAAAAAATATAAAAACTCATCAAATATTGTAAGTTAATGTTATGAAATGAAGAATTTTTCACCAAACGAGATTTGCTATAAATTTAAATAGTATAAACGATGTT